TTGGAAAGTTGGTATTTTGCAAGTGCACACCTGCAAACATGGGTATCCAAAATGAAAAGCCATGTCTTGTCAATGACCTGGGGAGTGTCTCTCTTAGAGTACAGGAGATACCTTCCAGGAATGTTGAGAAAACAAGGCTTAGGGTACAAATAGGTTAGCTTGTTGCTTTCTTCTAACAGCTGTCAAAAGGCAAGCTGTCAATTGAATGTAAAGCTGTAAAATGGATCTTTGCTTACAAAGCAGGGTGTGGGGAGGTCAGTAGATCACTTGCTTCACCATGTGATATTCTGGATTTTAAAACTGAACCTGAAAGTTCTCAGCATCCTGTGCCTTTCCCACCATTTTCTGAGCCTTTGGTTGCTTACAATAGTGGAACAAAGCAAGCTACTCATTTAGGGAACAGTCAAAACTCAGGCTGACTTTTAAAATGAGTTTTTTGGCAGCGCTAAGCAGGAGCAGGGAAGGCGGGGTCCACACTGACATGCAGATGCATATAATACTTTCCTCCATTTTCCATACCATATAATCTGCTTTCATGAGCTAAGATCTATTTACACCATTGCTATCACTTGACAGCTGTCAGGGATAGCAAAGGAACATTTCAACCTATTTGTAACTTTGTTTTCTTAAAGTTTCTGGGTGGTACCTCCTATAGTTTGACAGGAAATACTTCCTAGGAGATTGATGAGACCAGGCGTTTCATATCGGATACCCATAAATGCACAGGAGCACACTTGTGAAAAACCAAAATTTTAAAATGCAGTTTGTGCAAATTACCATTGGTGAAAATTTAATGACCATATTTTTAATGTGTGCAATTGCCTCCATTAAAAGGAATAAGAAAAAACAGAAATGCACGTGCTGACTTGGAAAGAGGACTGGGAAGGGACAAACAGGAGCAATCCTTTGGAATTTCATCTGCAAATGGACATCTCACATATCTCTACTCCCTGGCAGGCTTTGAGCAGGATGTGGGCACAGTCTGGGCTGCAAAGCCAAGAGCTCTTGTGGACCCCTTCTTCTTAGGTGGTATGAGCTTTAGTCTTGGGAAAATCCTCTTGTGCGGGTCTGAGACTGCAACAGCTCCCCAGCCATTTCCCCTGTGCAATGATCCCCAGCAAAGGTGGAAGCAGTCCTGCCAGAGATAGCACCCAACTGGTGATCCTTGGGTGGTTGTGCTGAGATGTAGGTAGAAGGGGCATGGCCTTCCCTCCTGCCTTCACTCACTGGTCTTGGGAAGTCTTCTTCAGGGATCTGGCTCCAATGAAATCAGCAATGGCCGTGCTGAAGTCAGAGCCAGGCCTCTTTCTTAAAGTGAACTTGATGTGACAGTTTCCCTCCCAGATCCGTGTTGGTAGCCCCAGTGGCACTGCTGCTTGGCTTTCAGCAATAGGCCATTGCAACTGTGCAACTCAGCTGCAAATTGGCCACTGATTTCAAGTCAGAGTGTATCTGATTCTCTTCCCCTGCCATTTCCGATGCACCAAACACAAAAGGACGGGGTGGTGTAGGAGGGGACTATGGCCAACAGGGATTTGGAGCTTCTGGCATTGACAGTGTTGTTGACTCTGCATTTGCAAGGCGTCATCAGCATGGTGCTTTTTCACTGTACCCCCAGCATAGCTCAGAAGGCAAAGGGATCATACTTTGATAATGGCCTTGCAAAAACTGATAGCTGAAACAAACAAAAGAACAGTTTTGTCTAAGTACAACTGTTCCAAATAGTCTCCCCCACTGCCTCCACTTAAATAGCAAGCAGTGTCTGTAGCTTAACGATCCAATGTTAGCCCATGAATGAGACAAATAAATAGAACATTATTAATAATGACACCCTACAGTATGCAGCTTACTCAGGGAGAACTGTAACACTGGAATGAGTCATGGCAATCAGACCAGTGCAATAGGTTTTCTTTCCTAGGCAGTACTTATTACACTTCGATGGCTTATTACCCGTTTTTTCCTTGATAGTGCTTGCTGCATTTTGTCACTGAAGTGCATAATGTTACTGTGAATGTATATGGAAGACAGTACCTGGAGGGGAAGGCTGCTTCTCTTAGCTCGAAGAGCTAGTGCAGCATCACAAGAGAGCAATGCCTGTCTTTTACTTGCTTCCTTCAGAGACTTTCCTAAATTGATTCTGTGTTGCGGTAACTTTATGTTCCTGTAACTCACAACCTCTCTGAACCTTTAAACACTGCGATGTCAGCTCATAAAGATGATCTGAAATTAAGCCCTTAATCGGCTTAAGTATTAGGTCCTACTCTTAGATAAATCTGCTTTGCTCTAGATTGTTTGTGAACCGTTCCTCAGGAGATTTAACACCCTGGGCTGGTGTTGAATCTAATTTCAGCTAGTATCTTTGAGGATGATACATTTAACTTAATTTATTTAGCACTGCTTAATGGAGTTCTTTTGCTCTGTTCAAAGCTCTCTGAGGGCTTGTGTGTGCCTTGAATTTAGTGTGCATAATAGTGTGCAAAGAACTGAATGGCTGGCTGGTTCAGACAGGAAGGAAAAGTGGTTTCACTTCAAAAAATGACCGCATGATATTCCGAAAGGCATTTTTGTCATGTTTCATGAGGAAACTTGTTGATTATAGCAAATCTCCTTAAGAAGCCCAAAGCAAAGTGTAAGGCCTCCTGTGGGTAGCAGAACCAAAACACAGATGGATAACTTACATAGCAGAAACATTCCTTCCCGCTGTAGTCTGTGTTGATTTAAGCAAGAAAAGAAGACTTTGGGGAATCCCAAAGCCCAGCACAGATCCATCAATGTCTGGGAGGAGAAGATGCAGTTTGCACCATTGGTTTCCATTGATCTGACTATAAGGGCACAGGCAAATTAACAGTTCAGCAAGGCTACAGGGCTTGCAGTTTCAGTATTTTAAACCGGGGTTGAGGAGAGCAGGTGGTTCTCACCTCTGAAAACAAGGAGAATATTGAGTGGAAACTGAAATATCTGCACCACCTATTATATTATCAAGCCTAAAACTTTGTTTACTGTTTCAGTAAAGGAATAGTGTATAACTTAGCACATAAAATTATACAGTGTGGTTAGGCAGCATTTAAATTTATAAATGCTTCAAACTTACTTAAGCTATATAAAGTTGGAAATAATTATTCGAAAGAAAAAATGTGGAAGGATTTTATCTGCAGAATGTTCTTGGTGGGGGGTTTTTTTGGGGGGGGGATTCGTATTTTTAAGCAAAGCAAACATAAAACCTGGGCTGCAGAGTCATAAGGGCAGTGTCCATATAACTGTCGGAGACTCTCAAGAGCTGTGGGCATAGTTTTGATACTTTTTCATGCTGGATTCCAAGGGTCCTGAAGAAAAGCTAGAGGAGGAGGAAAGAAATGTGAGGAATGGAAGGAATGAGGGAAGGCGTAACAATGGGGACAGAATGTGTTGGGTCCCGGAGCCTATCATCTTGTCCCCTATGTTCAAACCAAGTAGAGTACTTTAAGGAGGCAATAGATGCTGGGGCAGGCAAGCCCTTTCCCTGCTCCTAGGGCCTGGGCTTAGCATGAGATCTTCCATACAGACGTCCCGTATCAAGTACTCTGGTTTTGAAGAGATTTCAGAAGGAGCTGTTGAGGCAAGTCCTGTGGAAGAGTTTGCACCTGGCACCTGTGCATTCACAGGTTTGCTCCCTGGCCCTTCCATCCAGATAATTTCAGGTAGGAAGGCAGAAAGATCATGGTGGGCTGGATTCTAGAAATACTGCTTCCGTGATTGTCAGTATTGAGCTGGATGGAACACTGATGTAACCTAGCATAAAGGCAACACTGTGTGTGGCTGTAATCATGTTTAGCCCATCAGTTCAAGCTGGTCAAAAGCCTTCACATCATGGCAAGTGGAAAGCAAAGAGTCAAATCGCTGTGTTGATTCTCATTATGCTGCTACCCATGCTTCTCATTTTCTTACTTGTCTGGTTCTTTTGAGCATAATGTAATGCATGCCTTCTTCTTGTTGTTAATGCATGAAGCCTGTAAGGGCAGTACAAGAGCCTTTATATTGGAATTAATATTTGCTTTCCTTTTGTCTGGTCTGGAAGTTGACCACTGTGTCTGAATTAACAGCATTTGTAAGTCCTACTTTCACTAGCAATTCATTTATCTCCCGTTGTAGCTACTTTCTAGGTTCTTCCTGACACCTGCAAAATTCAGGGTGTTACGAATGAAGCTGGAGCAAGCAAGCAAGCAAGCTGGCTCCTGCGCCCAGTTGCTCCTACAGGGGATAAACAATCCAGGCATGTTCCGTCTAGCATGATGTCTAGAAGTCTCAGAAAGAACTAGGAATTATCAGTAACCCACAATACCCAGACATCCCGCTGAACAGTCCCGGAATGCATCAGGTCTAGCTTGGTCAGCTTTTCCTGCTTTCTGCAGGAGCAGCTGGGGAGCAGGAGCCAACATGCTTGCTTATTCTCACCTTGTCCCCGAGAACTAAGGTTGTTGTGACATCCAGACCAGGCCTTAGTATAGGCCTCTGTCATACACTCATGTGTTTGTGTGCACACCCTGACATACACTGCTGCTCAACAGAACATTATGGGCAAGATCCAAGGGAGTGTTTATGCCCCTACAGCTTCAGTTCCACCCCATCAGTTCCCTTTCACAAGCAGTGAGTCTTAGCAATTGCATTGAGCCACAAGGGAGATTTAGGGGAAGCCCCAAAACCAGTGGAAATGCTTCCTTCTGGAACAAACCAGGTTGGCAGAGCTCCCTTGTGTGAGTTTTGCTAACTTGCCTCCTTCCAGAAGCAAGCATTTCCACTGTTTTTCAGTTGCCCTGGAAGCACACAATCATCATTGCCCAAGGGGTGCAGGTCACTTGTAAAATGCAGTTGGTGGGAGGAAAGAGAGTTTTTTTTTGGGGGGGGGGTAAGCACCCTGTGGGATTCTGCCCCTCAAAGCAGCACCAAATCCTGCACATATTCTCTAAAGGGCAGTGTGGGATGTATATGAAGCTGACATTTCTGATGTCTTTTAATTTCAACAGTATCAGAACCAATTATTTCAACAAACGGAAGATGTAGATGGGAAAACAGAGATTATCATAAAGGTAAGCAAAAGGCTGTGAGCATCTTGCATAGCAAACAACTAGTTAGCAACTCTTGCACTCTGTTTCAGTAATGAAATGATGTCCTTCTTTCATTGGCATGTGAAGTTTGATTGCTCCCTGATCTAGCTTGTTCCCTGCTGGCCCAGTGACCAAACGCCCCGTAAATGTTACACGGATGCCATCTACTTTTTGTTCTTTTTTGGGTGGGGGTCTGGTCCTTGGGACATTCTTTTAAGGTAGTGCTCATGTCATGGCGCTTTGCTTGCCGCCAAGGCCAGTTAGCTTGCCAAAGGCCACATGGTCCAATAATTTCTCCATGGTGAGTTCTGAGATGGCTGCTGCTTTTTGCCTTTTCTTAACAGTCAGTGGCTCCCAGACACACACAGTGAACTGCTGTGTGGCCATTTTTACTGAATATCCGTCAGTGGAAGTTAGACATAGCCATGCTTCCTGCTGGCCATGAGATTCGTGCTTGTTTTTTTGTAGTTTCATCCAGAGAAGAACAGTGATAAATCCTTTGGGAGTCTTCAGCTGAGCAATGCATCCTTTTTGGACTTGTCACAGAGTGGCACCATACTGGTCCTGTGCCCCATCAGAATACTACCTTGCCATGGCAATCAGCCATGACCATGGCAGATCGGGAGCTCTAGATGCACAATACTTTCAGTGCTCTCATCGGAAGAGGACCCCAGTTGTTTCATTCTGTGTTGTTGCAGATCAGTCGCAGAACTCATGTTGTCATGTCTTTCATTACATGAGCTGCGGTGTCACATTACCAACAGCTTGAGGACCTGAGCAGTTGCTGCCCGAACACCGCACCCCACTAAAACAAAGAATAGAATTCTGTGTCACCTGCTATATTTTGGGGTTTGCAGATAATTTACAGGCAGATGGTGCAAACAAATGAAGTGTTAATCAGCGCATGAATCAGTTGGGCCTGAAAGCCAGCAGATCCATTTGCACTAAATATGGGCCTATGCTAATCTGCTTTTCACAGCATGGTAATTTATTCGCAGCCAAGAATTCCTTCCTGTTCTGGCCTTATACATCTGTACCAGGTTGCTAATCACACCTAGGTAATTGCAAGAGCAGCAAGCAGATTGAGCTGTTCTTTTTTGCTCAAGCTTCAAATGAGCTACTCAAGTGCAGAGCCTGCTACTTGAATGGCATCTGCCAACAGAAGGACAAAATGACAGCTTTTCAAATTACTACTGTTTTCTCTTGCCTGAATCTAAAGGATGGATTTTCATCCATGCGATTGAAAAAGTGCAGTTATGCTCAGTTTGGCACCAATTCTCTATGCCAGTGATTTTCAACATCTCTCTCCCAGTCTCTCCTCTTACATGGGCACCTTCTGGCCCTCCAGGTGTTTTGGCTTACAGCTCCTGATGTTTGAACACATCAGCTCATCCATCTTACAGGGATAATAAATCCTTGTCTTTGCCAAGTGACTGGCAGAAGAATAAAGTTGTAGTGCTGAGTCTTCAGTTTAAAACAATTATGCCTCATACATTCTTACTCTTGAGGGCTCTTCTTCCAGTTTCAATATTGTGGACTTTCAGCACCTTCACTGTGATGATTGAGTGCTCTTAGTTATTCACATCCACATATAGCACCATACTAATATTCTTCTCATGAAATAATAAATGAGTGAGGATAAGGTCAGTTTCTCCAACACTTTAGAAACATGCATTGTGAACTTGTAGCCCATCTGCTTTTTTCACCTGAATGATATTAACTTAATTTGCATAGGGGTTTTCTGTGAATCCAGTGGTTGTTAAGTTACAATTGATGCATAAGTGTGCTTTAGTTGCTAATAATATCATAATAATTTTATAATAGGATATATTTTATTATCTTCCCAGCACTGGTAACTCTAAATGGACTTAAATATCATGAGAACTGAAAAAATGGGGCATCTTGCTTGGCATTCAATTCTTCCCTCTTTGCCAATTGCCATACCTTCAAGCTTTTCTGCAGTCATCCTATTCATAAATTTAGTCAAATGGTGGTGCTCATGGGTCTAACAAAATCAGGACTCATCACGTTCCAAATATCAGTTTCAGGTGGCAATCCTAAGCACGCTTATTAAGAAATATGTTCCACTGAAACAGTCAGCCTTGCTTCTGAGTAAGCATGAACAGGATAGTGTATCAGAATGTGAATGTGGTATGATTAGCCCTTTAAACTGTAATCCCGGTCTCTTTTTTTACATTTTGTGCATATGTGATCTTAGCTTGTTTTGAACTATGCCTGTATTCAGGGAAGTCTGAGAGGCAGCACTTCCTGTTTACTGAGACTAACTTGTTTGCTGGGTTGTAGGAATCCAGCTGACCCTTTTTTGGCTGCAGAAGGCCTTCTCAGTGATAAACTTAGAGGTATCCCCTCCATGTTGGCTATCATAGCCTTGGATAGTGTTCAGTGCTTCTGAAAGACTTTAGTGGGAAGTAGATGTCTGTGAATGCATGAAGCCTCTTTACTCCGTTAAAGTGCTTAGTTGCTCTGTGGCAAAGTCAGTTTTTACAAAGCATTCATCATTCAGGATCCCTGAAGTTGTCCATTGCCGCTTCTCTTCATCCCAAGTACTTTGAAGGCTTTGCAAAGAAAGAATGTTCTTTCACTCCTCACTGATTTATCCTCTTTGTCTCCATTGTGACAGCAATCCTGCGTAAACTGTGGTCGGGAAGCGATGAATGAGTGCACTGGCTGCCATAAAGTCAATTACTGCTCAACTTTCTGTCAACGGAAGGTAATCCAGTCCTTATGTACCTGAAATACAGTGGCTCAGCTGGAAAAAATGCATCCATACATCATTGGCTCCTTTTGCTAAATCATCATTCATTTCTACTTGGTTGGCTGTTTGGTTTATTCCTTTCTGACAATCCCACCTTGAATGCAGGGACTCCAAAGGAACACCTGCCCCCCGGTGAACCTGCCCACCTGTAGAGATCATCTATTGCGACCCATCTTCAGATTTTCCTGTCATTTGAGGGTAGAATCACAGAATAGTAGAGTTGGAAGGGGTCAGTAAGGCCAACCCCCTGCTCAGTGTGGGACTGCAAGTTAAAGCATGGCTGTCCAGTTGCATCTTGAATGCCTCCAGTGCAGGAGAGCCCATGACCTCTAGGTCATTGGTTCCATTGTCATGTTTCTTTAACAGTTAGGATTTTTTTCTCCTGATGTTCACCCCAAATCTGGTTTCCTGTAACTTGAGCTTATTATTCCATGTCCTGTACTGTGTGATGATGGAGAAATGACCCTGGCCCTCCTCTGTCTGACAACCTTTCCACTACTTGAAGAGCATCATCATATCTCCCCTCAGTCTTCTCAAGGCTAAACAGATCCAATTCTTCCCATTTCTTTTTATAGGGTCTTGTTTGCAGTCCCCAGATCACCTCTGATAGCCTCCCTGAACCTATTCCAGTTTGTCCACATCTTTCTTAAACTGTTGTGCCAAGCACTGAATATAATATTCCAGATGCAGCCTAACCAGTACTGAGTAAAGGGGAACTGGCGCTTCTTGTAATTTGGAAGTGATGTTTCTATTAATGCAGTGGAAAATAGTATTTCCATTTTTTGCAGCCACATCACATTGTTGACTCATTCAACTTGTGATCTATAACAATTTGAAGCTCCTTCTCCCTTGTTGTATTGTGGAGCCATGTATCACCTACCTTGTAACTATGTGTCTGGTTTCTTTTTCCTAGGTGCAGAACTTGGCATTTTTCTGAGTTACATTTCATTCTATTGTTTTCAGCCCAGCATTCCAGTCTATCAAGACACTTTGAATTTTGTTTCTCTCTTCCTGGGTATTCGCTATTGCACTCAGTTGTCTGACATCTGCACATTTGATAAGCATCCCCTGCACCTTCTCATCTAAAGCATTAATAAAAACACTGAACAGTAGTGGGCACAGAACTGGACCCTGTGGTACCCCATTCATTGCAGTGTGAGAATGTGTTTTTGATAAGTGCGGCTTGCGTCCTCTTCTGTAATTAGCTTTGGATTCTTCTTCCATTAGCCTGTGTTTAGCTCGTTCACTGATCAGGATATCATGGGGCATTTTATCAAAAGATTTCACAGAATCACAGAATCATAAAAGAGTAGAGTTGGAAGGAGCCATGAATGCCATCGAGTCTAACCCCCTGCTGTTGCAGGACATCACCTTACACCATCCCACTCAGATGGCTGTCCAGTTTCTTTTTGAAAGTCTCTAGTGTGGAAGAGCCCACCACCTTTCTAGGCAGATGGTTCCACTGTCATTATTTTCTGACAATGAGGAACCATTTCACGATATCTAGCCTGAATCTGGATTGTTGCAGCTTGAATTGATTATTCCGTGTCCTACACTCTGGCATCAGCAAGAAGAGATCTTGACCTTCCTCTTTGTGACAGCCTTGGAGGTACTTATAGAGGGATATCATGTCCCCCTTCAGTCTTCTCTTCTCAAGGCTAAACATGCCCAGTTCTCTGTCTCTCATAGGGCAGTGTTTCCAAGCCCTGGATCATTTTGTCGCCCTCTGCTGGACCCTTTCTAATTTACCTGCATCTTTCTTAAATCTTGGTGCCCAGAACTGGACACAGTATTCCAGGTGAGGTCTGACTAGCGAGGAGTATAGAAGAACTACTACTTCTCGTGATTTGGAAGTAATACGTCTGTTAATGCACCCCAGAATAGCATTTGCCCTTTTGGTTACTACATCACATTGGCCTATTGTTCACAATTACTCTGAGATCTTTTTCTTGTTCAGTTCTGTTGAGCCACATATTCCCCTTCTTGTATTGATGCATTTGGTTTCTTTTTCCTATGGCATGTGTCCATATCGAATCTCATTCTGTTGCTTTGAGTACAATGTTCAAGTTTATCAAGATCAGCCTGGATTTTCATTCTGTCTTCTAGGGTGTTTGCTATTCCACCCAGTTTTGTATCATCTACAAATCTGATTATCTTTCTTTGTACTTCTTCATCTAATTCATTAATAAAGATGTTGAAGAGCACTGGACCCAGGGCTGAACCCTGTGGCACCCCACTAGTTATCTTCATCCAATTTGAGAAGGTTCCATTGATGAGCACTCTTTGTTTTGATTCAGCAGCCAATTTTGGATCCACCTAATAGTTTTTCCATCTAGTCCAGTTTTTGCTAATTTGCTTATCAGAATGTCATGTGGCACTATATCAAAAGCTTTGCTAAAGTCTAGGTAGATTATGTCCACAGTGTTCCCTTTGTCCATTTAGGAGGTTACCCAGTCAAAAAATGAGATTAAATTAGTCTGACAGGATTTATTTTTGATAAATCCATGCTGGCTTCTATTAATTACTGCATTTTCTTCAAGATGCTTATAGGTGAATTTTTTAATAATTTGCTCCAGAATTTTTCCAGAGATTGATGTCAGACTAACTAAACTAACCCCTTTAGTTTTATTCCCCTAGCTCTCCAAGGTCTCTTAATCCAGAATTTTAATAGAGTGTTCAGATACTGTTTTTCTTTCTTTTTTATGGTTTGACTGAATCTTACCACCTTGAAGTTCTTGGTTTTAGGGGTTTCAAAAAAATGTTATTAGGTTTGTTTGTTTTTGTTTTCATGGTGAACTGTCTTGGGCAGGATAGGAGAGAGATGTGGTATCAATGGGTTTTTAGTTTGCCTTTCTTAAGTGGATCTAGGATTGTAGTTCAAGTACTGGGTGAATCTCAAAACAAAATGGGAGTCTATAAAAGTAGAGTTTTGCAGCCCTTTTCTCATGCTGCCACACTTTGCCTTTATTCCAGAATTGCTTTCATTTGTAAATCTGTCTTTTTGTTTCTCTTTTTCAGGATTGGAAAGACCACCAGCATATGTGTGGCCAATCAACCTCGGTCACTGTTCAGGCAGATGAGGTTCATGTTACAGATGATGTGATAGAGAAAGTTGTTGTCTGAAACTCCCTACCTCTTCAACTGACATTGTTGTGTGTGTGTGGCAGACTGGCTGGATCAGTCATCTTTGCTGTGAAGTCATATTGGTAAAAAGAAAATGAACTCATTATGAAGATCAAGTTGTACTATTATTTTTATGTTGCTGGCCAACAGAAGACTCTCCTCTAAAAATGCAGAAACTGAAAATACATGGAGAACATCAAGAACATGGAAAACATAAAGGGAGCTTCACATGTTTTCACCAAACTCTGGAACTTCCATGGTCTTTATGGGGCTCTCTGTGAAACCTCCATAAAGCTTATGGTGATTTAAATTGCTGTATTCCACAGCTCTGATGAATGACTTTCAAAAGTGATTTATAAAATTTCTTTGAAGTGATTTATGGGAGCTAATTCTTTTAAAATTACTATGAAGTCATTTCAATAAAAATTGTGTCTGTTGATCTCTTCTAGTACTGACCGACCGCTCGTTTACAAAACAAGAAAGAAAGCCCAATCCCTCAGTGTGCTTCGTTCATAAACACTGCTAGGTCATATCTGGCCTTTGATTCTACTCTTGATTTTAGTTTTGTTTGAGGATTTCCCCACACCACCTCTTTGTAGGGCAACATTTTCTAAAATAGTGGAAGTTCTGTATGGTATGTGTTGTGTGTGCTGAGCAAGGTACAAAGTGGTCCTGAAACTTGATATCACCCACCCTGAGTCTAATAGAGAGTTTTCAGTGTGATGAAAACTTGGCAGATTTTAGCAGATCTAAACCTAGGGCAAATTCACCCATGCACATACAATCTCTCACACACATGCACAAGCATGCTCACATGCATACAAACTGAAACAAAGTGTACAGTGTGGTGATTCCTTATCCTGTTTGGCAGGTAATAGATCCCCCAGAGTGAGCGACTTTAGCGTGACCCAAGTATCCTCATCAGCTCCTAGCCCAACTCATTGCAAACTCATCATGATTTCTTCCTGTTAAGCAGTTTCCTTCTGCCACTGTTGTCTCCTGAATTCTCACTGGCATTTTGCTGTTTGGGTGGTTTTTACAAAGAGCTGTAGCAGGAGAGGCAAGCTTCCTGCAACACCAGTGAAGTAGCAAGACTGGCCCCAGCTCATTTTGGATGCTCAGCAGCACAAATTGTATTCATTTGTCAATCACATAGTGCTGTATTCCGTTTACTGAGCTTTTAGCAAGTAGCATATTAAAGGCCAGGGCCTTTTGCATTTGGCATCTGGTCAGAATCTTGGGAAAGGCAGTGTGGTATGGATGTGACTTTTCACACTTCTGACTTTGGTTTCCCCATCATTCTCTGCAGCAGAGGTGGCAACATGCATCCTTCCAGGGCTGTTTGGACAGCCCCCTGAGTCCGCCGCTGCTATACCACCATTCATGGGGTTGTCATAAGTCAGAGATGGCTTGACAGTACATAGCAGCTGCAGCAGAAGTTTTGCCGAGAAAGTGGGTGCGTGGGGAGAACGCTCCTTGTTCCCTAGCGGAATTACTGCTTCTGCAGAGATGCCAAATACAGCAATGATCACAGCACTTGACCAGCTGTGGGGAACCCAATTCTGCTGGGAAACAGTGTGTCTCCTCTTTCAGCCCTCGCTTGTTACCCAGCAGAATGGCTGGGGTTCTGGCAGTGGGGTGCTGCTCTTGGGGGATTCTAGGAGGCCATTATGGCCTAACCATCTAGATTTGCTCATCCCTGATGTAATGAGAAAGTATCTCATTTACTCCTGGCAGAGCTCAGGGCAAATCAGTAATCAAATCAGTAAAACGTATAAATCTGGAGTGAGTTTACAGCTGTGACTTCATGCTTCCAAAAATAAGAGGAAGTGCAATGGTGTATTTCCTCAGCATCTCACTTTAGAAGAAAGGCCTTCTATTCTAGCAAGATTAGTTTGAAAACAGCACCTTCTGAGTGTTAAAATGGCAGGTTATGAAATAAGCATTGGTTTTAGACTATGTTCACTGAAATGTGTGTGTCTGCGGAGGGTGAGGGGGGGCTTTGAGGGAGGATAGTTGAACAGAGCGGTTCTGACTTCTGGTCTGGTCTGGAGTTTTATTTACAGCTTTGTAGCATTTGCCTGAGAGAGACTGATCTTGAGCACACCAAATAACTTGCCAAGTTTTAGGCCTCTGCAGCACGGCATCAAAAACTTATTAGTAATGATACCGTTTATGAAAAAGTCTTAAATTGCAGCCAAGTAATGCATTTTTGAAAGCCTGTATTTGCCATTAAAAATGCTGCTGCTGCCAGTTAAGTGGAATAAGCAGCCAACAATTACATACATGTTCTTTATAAGGAAGCATGGCTTAGGAGGAACCTCTCATCACTATTTTGTCATCACTACTTGGCCCTTATGCTGATAGCAATTCTGTTTAATTGTCAATCTAGTTTTTGTATTCTCTGCCTTAGAGATGCAGAATGCGGGTATTGACAGATTTGTGTATAATCAATGTACATCCAGTCCCGGTGCTGGAAAAATGTGCCTCTGTTGATATGCCTGACTGTTCTCTTTAATCCTTCAGAATCACCTTTCCCATTTAGTTTGAATTTCTCCTGGGCAACAAATGGTGCAATAACTGATTGTTGTTGACATGAGTGAAAAAAATATCTCAAAGAGAATCCACTGGGGGTGTACAATCAAAAGAACATTTACAGTTTATTCAGACATATAGGAAATACGTGTGACATGTAGGTACCCCGCAAAGGGACTACAGAGATGGAGTTTGTACAAGATGCTTTTATAACCTACCAGTTACACAGTTTGGAGAAGGGGTGGGGGATCAGGTACACAGTATGGTAGAGCACATTAGAATAAAACAATAGGGATTAAACAACCCAAAGAGAAGAACCTTCAGGACAGGTACACTATTAGCATACCTGAGAGTGTTATCTCCAAAGGACAGGCTCATTAGCATTTCCAGGGTGTACTTGGGAAGCAAGACTTGCAACAGATCAGGGACCCCCTCTTAAGTCTAAAGCTGTTCTTACAGTGTCAGGCTTTTAGCAGCCAAGTTATGCAAAGCTTTTGCTTTTTGTCCTGACACGGAGCTACCCAGAGAATTTCAACTGCTGAGTGATACAGACATGAAATTAATACCAACACAACCTTGAGGCTTCATTTCATTGGGATCCAACTAATGTTTGATTTGGCTTGGGTCCACTGTTATTGGAAGGTAAAGTCATGTTCGGTGGAAGAAGCCCAGTAGTGGAAGCAGTAGGCAGTGCACATGATAAAAGACCCCTAGATCAGACCAAAGGCTTTTCTAGTCAAGCATGTTGTTTGCACAGTGGCCAGCCAGTTGCCAGTGGGAAACCCTCAAACAAGACAGAAATCCTGCTTCTGATGCTGCAAGGAATGTAGAGACAGGACTAGGATCCACAGCCTTACTTTGATCCCCCCCCTTAAAACAATTGAAGTTAATGGCTATTGCTATGTCTTCTGCTACCACATGCCATAGTTTAACAGTGTGCTGTGCGAAGAAGTACTCTGTGTCTGTCCTTGAACCTTTCACCATTCAGCTTCTTGGCACAAAGAGGACTACCTGGGTCCTGGTAGGATTTATTCAGGTGTCTGCTTTATATCCTGCCCTTCCTTGCGGAGCAGCTAGCAACCTATATAAAGCACCATACACCGCAAACAGCAAATCACAGATACATAAGAAAATGCAATAAAGCCATCAACACAGTCAATCAGTAAAAAAGAGCCCCCGACACCTGCACAAAGACCTAACTAGCAACTAAATGTCTTAGCTTCCTCTGCACCATATTCAATTTTGTGTGCCTCTGTCCCGGGTGAGAAGACACAGGAAGCAGGAAATGTCCTTGCCTCGATTTGCTAGGGCCACCTCTGGTCTTTGTCTGATTTGTCAGTTGATGCCGGTGGGCCTGAACCGGCCTCCGCACTGCAAAAGCTCTCAACAAATGCTGCCTCCTCGTGTTGGAGCCTGAGCAAGAGACCACGGGCAAACCACAGCCCTTGCTTGCGATGCCACAGTGAGCCCAGCTGTCTGTCTGGGCTGCTGCCCCTGCATCAGCTTGACCGCAAATAACTTGGCTCATCATCTGCTTACTGTCTTTGCTCCAGCCCTCTGAATGAAACTGACATGGTCTCATTTGTGAGGCTCTGATACCTGGCACTGTTGGAAGAAAATGCCTGCTCACCCCCACACTGTTCCCTTGGCATCTAGCGCTAAGCGACTGTGCGGCCATTTATCAGTAGGAGCATTGCCCAAATAGGGATTTAGTTTCTCGGCAGCAGTGGCAGCCACCACCGTAAACAGTTAGTGTCAAAAACCCATTAGAAATCTAGCAGCTTTGTTGTGAAGATGCAATGCTTTTGAAAGTCACTCAGTTCCCCCATTCACTGTAATCTGCAACTTTTATTAGTTACAGCCAGTAGCATCAGTGAATATGGTGCTTTACAGCATATGCAGAGAAAGGTCTCTCTGCCCTCAAGGAGCTTTCAGGTTAGCATTGGGCAGAACATTTCATGGTCCAGATCCTGACATGGAAAGTTGGCTTTTGGAAGAGGATCCAGAAGTGCCCCTTGCAAATGGCTCCCAGGAGCATCTTTGGTTTTCTTCCCTGCTCTTGGCTCCCCTGATAGGTTGCCACTCCCAGGCTGTTTCAGGATCACTCTGCAATCCCTGCCAATCACCACCTTTCTCCTGAGGGTGGGGAGGTGGGCAGGCAGCTGACATTTCCTGCCTTGCATGCAGCTCCAGCATTTTCAGTGCTTGCCAGTGCTGTGCTGGCTTTTACCTTCATTGGTGGATATGCAGCAGGGAACAGACAGAATCCTTCCGGGCTGCATTCACTTCGATGGGATGCATCTGCTGCAGGATCATCAAAATTACCACCATGCCCATTCTGCCTCAACTAGTTCAACCGGGCAGGCTGGACTTGATGGGTGTGTGTGGACAAAGTCTTGGTCTACTGCCTTAGCAACAGGAAGCATTTTCTTCTTCAACACCTCCCCCTTTGAGAAGTGGCTTTTGTCTGAAGGCAAACAGGTGTAAAAAGTTCTCAAAAAGGGGCACCCCACCTTGATTCAACAGAAGCACACTCCAAAGCTGAGCTCCAGGTGTTTGGCAACATATGACGGGTTGGTTAATTCACTTGTTTTATTGGGACTCGGTATTTACTTGTTAATTGCTCTTAGCTTTTTCCATTTGTTTTAGATACGTAAATATTTAATCCCTGTTGTCAAGACACTATGAATCTTTTCTGAGAAAGCTATCTAATAATACCAGTATTAGCACTAGTCGCTCTAGCCATAACCCAAAGCAACAATTGGCCCTAGCCATAGTTTGCTGAAGAGAACGTGGAGGAAGCATCAGGGCCAAGGTTGGCATGCCAGCACAAGACTGTG